CACGACCAACACGCTCGCTCCCGCTAATAAAATATTTCATCTCCTCTTTATTTTTCGCTCGCTTCTCCCAATCCGCCGCACACTGGATCGAGTCAATGCGAGAGGTCGGACAAAATTTGGACACTTAAAAAGCTCATAACTCCGTTTTTGAAAAAATTGTGAGGTCTTACAAGTGGTTTCATTGGTTTCCTCGTAAAATTTTCCTTTAGAAACACCCCTTGAAATATAAAATGTGACGAAATGAATATCAAAATTCGCAGTTTTAGTCAAACATTTCATGTCCGGCCTCTCTCATTTACTCGATCCACTGTGCGTCGTTTCTCTCACGAAAGATAACGTAACTAAATTTCAATTGTGCCAAATTTCTCCCATCAAGTTGCTCTTTTAGCGGGGGAAACTTCAACACTTCTAACTGAAAACTTCCCCGATTTTTTCACCGATCTCATGCAAAAATCAGTGAGATTTTGGACCAAAATGGCACAAGTATATTTTTGTACAAAAATGAATTGCTTGTGTCCATTTTGCAACCTTGGAATGGAGTTACGTTCCTTCGTCCGGGAAACGACGAATTGGACGTATTTCTGCCAAACGGGCCTATGTGCATTAAGACATGAGCCCTGAGACCCATAAGAATATGTGCACAACAGGGCTCACGTCATGATGCACATAGTTCCGTTTGATAGAGATAGGTGCAATGTGCTCTCGGCTTCCTCCACGGATTCGTGTATAGAAAATCTCGCAAGTTGGCAATGCTGTGTTCCGCTCGTTTAAAGACATGTAAAAATCAATATATCGACGGCAGAACCACGAGATCGTGGATTTTGACTCGTTTTATAGAATTTTCGCTGCTCCTATTTCTTGGAGGAACATTTTTATACATTTTTACACGAAATATTAAAATGTGGTTTTGGCAAATGCTTCTCGTTACATTCTTTGTCAGGCATTGCTGTGTTCTTCTATTTTCGAGAGTATCACAATGTAGATAACTCTTAATTCTTAAAATCATCCCACTTTGCAACATCGCGACCAAGTTACGCGTTTTTCGCGTTCCTTCATTGACACTTCTCGAAGATCGAGAATGGAGAATTTGCATGCAAATTTTTTATTGCTTCATCTGAAAGTGCTTACAGAGCTAATTTCACGAAATTTGTCATAATTTACTTCTGATATGGGAAATAGTATAAAAATAGATTCGAAAGAGAGAAAATGCACCGCCTAATGACGCCATCTGGCTGCATTTCCCAATTAAACACACGTATTTTAGCAGATTAGATCATTTTGTCATATGATCTCCAATTGTTCAATTCATGAACCAAAGGTATTCTCGGGATCAGTTCACTCTGCAGTAGTTTCCAATTACACACGAAATTCATCATATTTCAGACACCTGCGAATTCTCTATTTTTCCAAATATGAAACTTATAAAACTAGGGATGGGTCAGTTGCTCTGATCACAGAATCGTATTTGGACGCTTGATTCTTGTAGATCAGCTAAAAAAATTAGATCCGTTCCAACAGCATTTTTCTACGTTCAATATTTACCGTGATATCGCGCATTGAAAAATTCGGTTCATGATGTCGTCCGCCGCACAAGTGACACCCTTGGTTCCTTCCACCTTGCTTTCATCCGAGTAACCAGTGCAAAGTTGAATCTCGCTGACTGATAAAAGCAAGGTGGAAGAAACCGAGGGTGTCACCACCGCGGTGGATGACGTCATAAACCGAATTTCTCAAAGCGCGATATATCGGTTAACACTAAACGTAGAGAGTTTCTGATTGGACAGAACTTATTGTTTTTAGTGGGACTACAAGAATCCAGCATCGAAACACGATTTTGAGACCGGCGTGACTTACTCATTGTCTACTACGACATTCAAATTGAAACCTCTCCTTCCTTTTCACTCTGAAACGCCATGGCAACCTAACCCTACTAATTGACACTCGACTAGCGCTCGGGAGTGAATGTGACGTCATTCATCCGCCGACTAACGAGCCATTTTTGAAAGCGTCCGATATCTAATTAATGGCGACCTATCGCTCGGAAAGTAATTAAATTTTCCGTGAGACCGACGTCGTCACTTCGCCGCGCAAAACTCCGGGTCCACCGCCCGGGACCGCTGCTCGGGACAATATTTCGCAACCGAGGTGACAGTTTTTCACGACCGAGGCCCACCGTTGCGGATTTTGCCGATTAAATCGTACATTGCTCAAATTTTTCGAGAGAAAAACCGTAAATTTTAACGACAAGTTGCAACGCCGTTGTAGTCCTGATTAAAACCGCCGTCTAAAGTGTGTAATTGAAAAAGGGGGCAATAAAATGCACAAACAAAGAGTAATAAATATCGAAAATGGACGTGTGGTGATCGGACGGACTGTATGAATTAAAGCAGGGGCGTATATTTCAGAGGCTAATATGGGAATGTGGTCTCGAGAGCTTAGATCCAGCTTTACCGCTTTAGAAATCTCCCGGTTGAAATATATTTTCTCGGGAATTTTTCATGAGTCTAACACCGACTATAAGGAGCGACCGGGAACGTTAAATATAGGATATTTAAAGAATAAATGAGAGGCTTGGAGGACAAGGCGCATAAATGCGGTTTTTGAAACAATGGAGAATTTACACACAAAAATTTTATTGCTTCATCTGATTGTGAGAGTGTCTAATGAGCTGACTCCGCAGTATTTTTCATAATTTTTTTCTGTCATGGGAAATTGAAGAAAAATTGATTTAAAAGTGAGAAAATTTTCCGCCTTGTGACGTCATCTGGCTGCATTTTTCATTTAAATACATGTATTTCAGCAGATTAGGTTATTTTGCCATATTTTCTCCAATAATCGTTCAATTTAGAAACCAAGGATACCGTCGTACTGGGTTTGCCTAGCGGTTGCATTTTAGAAATGAAATTCACAAAATTTAATACACCTGCAAATTCTCCCTGAGATATTAATGATTGATTGTCAAGTAAAACTTGTCTGAAATGCATATTCTGTGAAAAATTCGCTCCCTTTCAGTATTTAATCATCAGTACGTCAGTTTGAACTTTCTGTCCGCCATAAAGGTTCATGTAATTTTCGTGGGCCAGTAAACACGTGCTTCTAAAAATGGCAAAAACTGCTTTTATGCGCCTTGTCCTTAAAGCCTTTTAAATTACAGGACAAAATTTCTCGAAGCGTCACCTTCAATCAATTATTTATCATAGATTTTAAAAGAAGGTTGAACAGAGAAAATGGACATCATTTTGCAAAAAGGAATGAAAATTACTAAGCCATCTGTAAAAACACTTGCCTACAATGAGAAACTGGTGGAGCGTACATTGTTTCCAAAATGATCCGAAAATTGTAGCTCAAATAAAATTGCGATAATCTTCACTGGATTTTCATGAAGTTTCCCACACAGCTTTCGTGGGTGACTGATCCCTCGGCAGGCTTGAATGAGACCCTCAAATGCATGGTACTGTTAGGTCTATAGTTCTTTTCTTACAATTTGAGCCTCAAAATTTACAACATTTATCGAAACCTTAATCTGTCAACTATCTAAGACTCCACGAATGATAAATGATTTTATGGTTACATAAAAATTAAACTGAAGAATCAGGGCCGGATTTGAGAGGTGGCCACATGGGCCGCGGCTCACGGCAGCAAATTTTGCAATTTTTTTAAATGTAGGTATAAAAAAAATGGATTCAGAAAACAACTAAAAACTAGAAAAGGCAACAAAATCTCTTATTTCCTGAGAGTGTGGTAATTTCTAATTTGGTCGTCTTTCGGTGATACAAGAGACAGCACCTTTAATTTGTCGAGTTAAGAGAGAAACCAAACACGCAATTTGGCCCAGAGCGGCGCAGAGAGCAATGATGACGAGGACTTGAGATAAAAAGGAGAAGCCCTCGGCGCGGCGATCGGCATGTAACACATATTAGCGCCTACAAGACTGCATGAATACTTCGCGCATTGCATCAAACACAGTGCGGTCAGCAGCGGTTGGCGTGAAACACATAGCGCCTACAAGACTGCATGAATACTTCACGCATTGCGTAAAACACAGTGCGGTCAGCAGCGGTTGGCGTGAAACATATGGCGCCTACAAGACTACATGAATACTTCACGCATTGCGTAAAACACAGTGCGGTCAGCAGCGGTTGGCGTGAAACATATGGCGCCTACAAGACTGCATGAATACTTGCGGTCAGCGCGGCGCACGCGCAAGCGGGAGTTAAAATTATTAACCCACATTTATGTTTGTTCTTTCACGATTGTATCGTTCATTTCTCGTGAATGGAAAGCATTGTCCACACAGAAATGGGTTTACGGAGCTTAATTTTCGCGCGAAGCTCCGTAACTTTCGCTAGTAATGTTGACAGGGCTTTCGCAAAAAATGTGTTCAACACGAGTAAACGCGTCTTATGCACTCCTTCCCCTCCCGCACGTTCACTTGATGGTTTCTATTAAAGTCTCAAAACGAATCAGAAAGGTGCGGCAAGGAGGTAAATCCGGTCGTATAGGATATCATTCAGCGTTTTTTAAAGATATTCAAGCCATCGAAACTCTCCAGAGCCCGAAAGACGGGAGGATCATTTTCGGAATATAAGTTTTTTTCCCCCCTACAAATTTGCCCTCTTGCTTCCGTTAAACGTTCAATAATTCACCAAATCATTGATATTGGATGAAATATTTTGCAGGCTAAATTGTTTACGAGACCAAACTTAAAAAATATCTTTATCAAAGACTGGTTAGTAACCGGCAGCTTAGAAAAAAATTGATTTGGATGGTGTAAAAAGACACACTCAAAACTAAAAAATAAATAAAGGGAAAAGCACGCAGACAATGATTGTTACGAAAAACAAAATAAAAAATTGTTAACTGATTAATTTGGTTTTATGTTAAACGTTTCAAAATGAAGAAGTTAGTACGTTTAGTAAGGAAATAGTGATATAAAGAGTATTTGAGCTGATTTAGAAAGAAACAAAACAAAAAAACTCAATAAAAGAAATAATAATGACCTTGAAAGATTTTATTTTTGTACGTATGATGGTCATCCCCAGCGTAGTTATTGTCCTCTGCAAAAGAAAACAAGATTTTTCTCTGAATAAACATGAAACAAACGCAAAAAAATTGACGGAGAGCAAGATAAACTTCGGATGCGCATGAAACATAACCTTTGACTAAACTGCTTGAGAATATGAATCATGCATACAGGAACTACTATTATCAGCTCATTTTAGAAACCGAGCATATGTCATTAATTTCCCTGTGCACATAGGTTAAATGATTTGAAATTATGAGAAAAATGATTAGAGCCTTAATATTTCAATTGGACTACATTTTGCAATTTGGAAGTATAAATTTTAGCCCGGTTTTAAAAGAATGTATGTGCCATTAGTTTCCCTATGCACATAAGCGTCTTTCCAGAAGAGCCAGAATTTATGGTTCCAAAATGCAGTCAAATTAGAAAAACGATATCGAAATGTACCAATCATCGGTTCATTTCGGCTGAGCCCGGTGCGGCTCTCCTGCGCTCCAGCAAAAGTGTGCAAAAACTAGAAGGGGCATATCAAAGCTTATCCCGACGCGATCTGGCGGGAGCGAAGGGTCCCAATCCTTAGCGGCCGTCTCAAATCGGTCTTTAAATCTCGACGTTTGTTTGCTCGGTAAGCAAGCGCCACGGTTTCTCGTTCGGAGAAAAATCCCCGAGTTTCAACCGGGTTCCATGCTGCCCTACTAACGCAGAACGCCGTATGAACATTCGAGAGTTGCCAAATTCCCTCCGATAAAATGTCTATTTTTGAGAGAAGTTACGAATATTATTCCTCAAAATGTTCGGAATTTTTACATCTAACTACGAACGAAATCCTGTGAAAAATCGGAGGAAAGATATTCACAGATTTCCCTGGAAATTCGTCATTTGTTGAGGGAAATTTGGCAACACTTAATTGAGCCCCGGTTCCTTCTGCTCGGCTACGCGAGAACTGGCAACTAGGGGACGAGGCGGAGCGGGGCGGGAGCGGGGGAGCGCTCAACTTGGGCGGAAGTTTAAAACACATCAGAGTTGATTCCTCCTGACGGGCTGACGGGGAGCAGTTAACTTAAACAGTCCTTGTTGACCCACCGAATACATGGAGCCGGGCTTAGGTACCCACTCGATGGCTCCCGAGCGCTCATTGATAAATTAATGGCCCAAGTTTGGCGGATCCCGAGTGAGGAAAACACCGCTCTCAACGCCCGGAGATGCTGGATCCTGGACTCCCGATAAAAATCTTCCAGCTTGGGAAGGAAAAAACACCGTGTGTTACGGTGGCCCATCTCGGGGTTTCTTTCCTGTCAAAATGGCGCACTGAATACGTAGGTATGCTGAGGTATGCTGTTTTAGCACCTAGGATGCCAAAAATGTGTCTGGTGATCAGTGTTCGAAACTCACAGGCGCCAACGCGCCAAATGCGCCTAGAAAATCGGTCATGGCGCCTAAAAAATGAAGGCTCTGCGCCAACGTGGCCCCTAAAAATCTGAATTTCCATAATAGGTGATTATTCGAAATTTTCAGCACCTTAAGTGAAAGCTTTTTCTATTCTTCACGATTCCATCATTAGTGCTTTTTTCTTCCCCAAGTTACACTTACTAACTAGTTCTGTTACAACAACATCTTGCGTCTAATTTTTCACTAAATTCGCCGTAATATATAGGCAAAAAGTCAATTTGGCCCCTAAAAAATCTTCAATGGCGCCTAAAAATCGGGCTTGATGCGCCGCATGGCTCCTAAAACTCAAAGGTGAGTTTCGAACACTGCACTGGTGATTCTTTAATGCTGTCTTGATTGCCCACGCAGTTGACTTTGCATTCACAGGATGTAAAGTTATCTGCGAGGGCAGTAAAGGCAGAATCTTATTGGGATCATCAGACACATTTTTGACATCCTAGATGCAAAAAGAGCATATTATCAATTTTTTCAGTGCGGTCTGCGAGTCCGAGGGATATCGTCAAAAGTAGGAAGCCCTCCACTATAATAACGGTAAATACTATGAATTATACTTTGCAAAAAGGAACCAAGAGCATTTTAATGATGCTAGGATTGAGCAGCTTACATTCTTTGCAATAAAATCACTGAAATCATGCAACAAATTAAATTTACGAGGGTAATTTCCTTCTTGCATTTAGAGTTTATGGAGAGCAAAGATACAACTTGTTCAGATGATCAGTTAATAATTGCGTGGTAGAAAAGGTTGCACAAGCTTAGCGGCATAAGAATGCTCTTGATTCCTTTTCGCAAAATGCAATTCACAAATTATACGGTTATGTATATAACGATAACGCATGGTAAAAAAGTCCTGTAGAATTTTTTTTTTTTTTTGAAAATTACAGTTATTTATACAGGGTATCCTTGAGTTAATACGCCAAACCTCAGGAATCGATTGTTAGGGTCAAAAAGGCTTTTTTTCCAGAAAATTAGTTCCGAAAACGCTTTTTTTGACGCTACAGCCCATCAAAGTTATGAACTTCCCCCCGTTTGTCCATAACGCTGTTTCGAAGCGTCAAATGTAAATGTAAATTAGATTCTGGAGGTATCTTTAAGCGTACTTGTCATTTATTGTGGTTTCAAAAGCTTTAGATTTTGTGGACAGGCAGAAGGCAATAATGTTTTTATTTATTTGTACAAAAAAGGTAATTTATTTAGTTTGGAAAAAGTGGAATCATGATGGACAGGTGGACATGACCCGAAGGCCTGTTTATACATTCTATAAGAGGTGATGTACTATTTCCCTTAAAAAAGCTTATTATCTATTATTGGTGAACTGAAGTTCCTCAATCTTCTAGAAGGCAACAACTTGGAAATTAAAAATGGCTGTAACTTTTGAACCGATGAAAACTTTTGAATTCTGACCACACCGAGTGAAAGACCGAGACTTGGGCTCGCAATAACAGCGAATCGACGACTCATTTTTATTTAGTTTCTTCTCCGGTCGAAAACGAAATTGTTATCCATTTCGAAATGTTCCGACTTTTTTTATTTCATCATTTATCTTTTGTTTTGTTGCAGTCTTTCCCCATATCATGGTGTTATTTTATTATATGCTTTGACTGATTAAGTCTGCTTCAATATACGTAAGCCATTGTCCTGTGAATATTCCCCTAATCAGACACAAACAGTATCTTTCCGGTTGCGATGCAGATAATTCTGAGTTAAAGAAAATACCTTACAGACAGCAAACACGAGGTGGAAAAGTTTCCACGGGAAGGGGAGAGGTGGATAGCCATCTCAAAAATTTAAGTGGCCGCAAGTTGAGTGAGAGATATCGGAGCTTGAAAAAGTTTCCAGATTGAAGCGATAAAACTGGGAACTTTCTGCGAACTTGGCTCCGAGATTAGTAGTTCCAGCTGAGGGATAATAACAACTCCTCACGTATCTCTTTCCAAAAGAAAACGTGATCTTCATATCGATGGAATCTTTTCGATGCCTCGTCGTGATTTTTCAGAAAGACAGAGCTTGATTTCCATACCATAATGCAACTGAAGAAAAAGTATCACAATCTCGACTATAATTATTCCAGCTGATTGTGGCGCCAGCCATAAGAGTAGTTGCACTAGTTAGAAGTGTAAATGCACCAGCCAGCGGTATAGTTAATCCAACCACACGTATGCTGACTGTGAGGGGAGGGCACTAGCTAGATGTATATGGTTGATCCAACCACAGTTTAACGTAAACCCGAGAGCTCTTAATCTTAGGAACCTTTTTAATATTAGAACTATGAAAATGACATAAATTATGTAAAATCGCCTCCTCTTTTAAATAAATCGATGAAAGTCGTACCAAAGTAAAATTGCTGAAAAATTATTTTTAAACTTATCAATTTAATAAGTTCGTAGGTAACATTGACGTTTGAAGTTGACGAATTGATTATTTTTATTAAAGTGATAAAAGTTTACTCGAAAATGAATGACATTAACTTGTCGGATTCGACTTTTATTACGTTTCGTTATAGTTCTTAGAAGAGGAAGTTTCACATGAGTATGGACCAACGGCGCACATCGTAATAAGGACGGTTGGTATTCGTGACGGTGAGCAATGACGTCTTTCCTTTGCCGTCTTTCAAATGGATTTCGACCAAACGGAACTATGTGTATTAAGACATGAGCCCTATGAGACCCATAAGAATACAAGCATAACAGGGCTCATGTCAGAATGCACATAGCTCCGTTTGACAGAAATACGTCCAAATACGGCTGCGGCTATTCAAGTTAGTTTTACTACCTCGCGTTTGGTAAGTCTTAAAATTATTCTTGCGTGGGAGAGAAGGATAACCGGAAGGAAAAAATGCAGGTTGTTTTTATCATCGATTACACTTCGAAAGACTGAACATCTAGCTTGAGCCTCAGCAGTGGCGTTACCGCGATAAATATAAGAGGGGTATTGATGGTAAATGCATCCCACTGGTGTCAAATTTATCTCTTATTATAACTCTTACGTTTGTTATCCGGGCCTCGTTGATGAACACGTTTAAATTCACAAATTTTCGTCCTGCTGGAATTTCAAGGACGTTAAAAAAACATCTTTCTTGCGATGAGTATAGTTTACCTGGATAACGTCTACTTTCTAGTCATAACTACGATGTTACTCTTCAGGTAATAAATGAGTCCGTCCCGATAATAATGCTACATTATTTTGCAATCTTTTGCTTCAGTAAAGAGAATAGTTATTTCTTAGGAATGATGGGTTAAATATGACGATAAGCGCATCGCGAATGGCAGGAATCCGTTTCAATCGTCACGATCTCCGAGAACATTTGGCGCTGATTTGAATTTACAATTTTAAAGAGTACACTACAACAAAAGATATAATTTGAAACAGATATGAGGCACCCCGCTTTCACATCTCCAAGCAGGGCTCCAAATGGTCGCCACGTTTGTCTGCACGTTGTTGGTGGTAATTTGAGATTTTCAGCGGGTCGTGTCCGACCTTAGGAATAAAGCCAATGAAAATATGGCAGCGTCTCTGAGGGATACGCCGAGTTGATCGGACCCATTTCTAATACTCGTATAATTTTTATGGCGTATCTTCTTTATACTTTCCCGTTATGGCCCATTGTCTTTTTCGCGCAGGCTCGAAAGTAAAGTTGAGCTATTCACCAAAAGCACGGGCTCGCAATCGGACTCTTTATACTCACTTTACCTATTCTATCAATTTCCGTTTTTTCCCCCTACGCAATTTTCCCCCTTTCTTTCTACCTCAATTTTCCTTCCTCATTCCCTAACATAGAATGAAGCCCTATATTTTCTCTATTTTTTTTAACAGTGTCAATTCAAAGTGCCTCTTCACTCTATTCTTATTTTTTTTTAATTCAAGTGCTCAAAGAGCAACATCATTGAAGTTGCGAGTTGGTGTACGAATCTAAGAAGCCAGACATGAGATATCTACTTCATGGACTTCAGAGGGGCCACAAGAATTCTGGATATGATTCTTTTCCCTAGTAAAGTTTGTGAATATTTCCTGCTTTTGAAGACCCCCACGGACTACTGTACGTACCCCAACTACTGTATTAAAATTGTAACGTTCTCCAAATCGGCTAGGAAAAAAGTTGAAACTTCGAGACGTGACAAGAAAAAATTGGCATTTCTTAATAGTATATTTGAACTATTTTGTTCTTTTCCTCAGATTTTTTGCGGTATCCATTCCTTGATCTCGGTCAGCCTGGAACTTATGAAAGCAGACGACTAAAATGCGCATGCAAATTCCTGACGACCACACTTTTGATGCTCATCAAAGACTAGACTTTGCGCAATTGAACGTATTTCTGCCGAATGGAACAATGTGCATTAAGACATGAGCCCTGAGACCCATAAGACTATATGCATAACAGGGCTGACGTCAGTTATATTAACATAGTTCCATTTGGCAGAAATATGTCCAATTAGCCTAAAGGCCTTAAAAATTTTTATAAAAAATAGAGGTTTCTCCTTATCGTACCTTTACCGCCCAAGAAAAGAAGGAAGAGAAAGGGAAGAAAAAAGAAGTAGAGAATGGAAGATAAAAGATGGAAGGACACGTATAATTGGTGATTATTCATGACGAAATTGAATCAAACTGCATATTCAATACTTGACAATTTCAAAAAATTTCTGGGGGAAGCCCCCCGGATCCTCCTAACACCCCCACCCCCTGGATCCGCCTATAATGAACTCGCATTTTGATGTAATGGTCTAGAAAAACGATGGATTCTACCACATTTCTTGTAGGATGAGCCAGAAACATAAAGTTAAATGTTTTATTCATTTTGTATGAGTGAGGAAATTTTTGGTGACTTACCGACAACGTTCAAGTTGACAAAATAACTAAGAACCGGTTGCGTGCTGATCTGGCACTCGTACATGCCGGCATCCCGGAGTTGCGCCCATTTGATGACCAGCGTCCACTCATCGTATTCTGGATGATGGATGGCTTGGAACCTCTGATCACTCGTATACGTGTTTCGCCCCACACTCAAGATGTGGATGTCTCTATGCCTTATCCACGAGACCTGAAACAAACAACCAACAGTTTCGTCAAACTTTCTCCTCCGAATCAAACGAGTATTTCGGTATGTAGAGTGCAGCCAAGTGCTAGAAATGATGTAACATTTTTTTGAAAAAAACTTAAATTTTATTCGTACGTGGAGTGTAGCCAAGTGCAAGAAATAATGTAATATTATTTTCAAAAACATGTTACATTATTTCTAGCACTTGACTACACTCCACGTGCCGATATATTCAGTGCTGCTACCTTTTAGACATTGTTTAGTACAATTTTCGCTGAACTATACGAATATTAATGAGAATGTTCACTTCATGTTTTGGACCCTTTCTTGAGGCAATTTCCATAAAATTAAGTCTTAGAGTCGTTTTTATATTCGATCCCTTGTCAGCTTCTTTCTTTGGAGACACCCCATATGGTTAGGGTACAGGTATTCCTTTCGTAGAATCAACTTAGAATTCACGCTGTGTAAAATACAGCGTGAAGGAATGGTAAATTCTACCAATCTTTTTCCTTGGTGTATAATATGGATACATTTTCGTCAATTCGCTGAAGCTGATAAGAACCCGACTTAAACGGATGACTGAAGGCGCAAAGTGCCGAGTGCTTTTCAATAGTCAATTAGCGTGATGAAACCTCTCAGACGCGCGTGGAGGCAAACGATAAAACTACCGCGCTTAGCCAAAAGCGCGTACCTCCCTAGGGAACCGACCCTACTTACGCGGTTTTTATCAAAGCGCGGTGATTTTTAGCAAAAGTGGCGGGCTCAGCCCTGGCCGGATGCCAAATCAACTCTATCGGCTCGTACTTTACCCCGACGCAAATAGTTTTCTTTGTCCCCCCTCCCTTCCTCCCTCCCTCCCCCCATCCGGCGGGCTCAAAGTCGCTTACAAGCTAACATGCAAAGCGAACACGGCTGGAAACTTTATTGCGCTCGTTCTCCATAAATTTAACGGTCATAATTAATGTAAAATATTTATTTCAATAGAATCCGCCGTGCTTTCAGCGGATTCCCGCTAACCGAGCTCTTCTAAGTATCTCCACGCCGCCGGACTTGCGGATTTCCCCGACGGCGCACAGTGGATCGAATGAAAGAGAGAGATCGGACATGAAATTTTTGAAAAAAACCACAAATTTGAATGTTTATTTCGTCAAATTTTAATATCTAATAGGAGCTCCTTGAGAAAGATGTTACTAGAAAACCAATGGAACCACGTTTAGAACCTCAAAGTTATAAGTAAGCGGAGTTATGAGCTCTTAAAGTTTCCAAATTTTGTCCGGAGAGGGCGGACATGAAATTTTTGAAAAAATCTTAAATTTTGATGTTTTCGTCAAATTTTAATACCTAATAGGTGCACCCTGAAGAAAATTCCACTGAAAAACCAATGGAACCACGTTTAGAACCTCGAAGTTTTAAGTAAAAACGTAGTTATGAGCTCTCAAAGTTTCCAAATTTTGTCCAGAGAGGTCGAACATGAAATTTTTGACAAAAACCTTAAATTTTGATGTTTATTTCGTCAAATTTTAATACCTAATAGGTGCTCCCTGAAAAAAATTCTACTAGAAAACCAATGGAACCACGTTTAGAACCTCAAAGATTTAAGTAAAAACGTAGTTATGAGCTCTCAAAGTATCCAAATTTTGCCCAGAGAGGTCGAACAAGAAATTTTTGACAAAAACCTTAAATTTTGATGTTTATTTCGTCAAATTTTAACACCTGATAGGTGCTCTTGGAAGAAAATTTCACTAAAAAACCAATGAAACCACGTTTAGAACCTCAAAGATTTAAGTAAACGTAGTTATGAGCTCTCGAAGTTTCCAAATTTTGTGCAGCCTCTGACATTGACTCGGTCCACTGTGCGGCAGCGCGCTTTGCCGAGCGAGGACGGAAATTTGACACGCGGCGGGTTCCTTCATTAAACATCTTGGCGCTTTCATATTCTTTGAGCGGTCGTTAGGACTTGGAAAAAGTCCCGCGGAATTAAACGGCTCGGATCCTTAGACTCTTATGCTTGTTATCAGTTGGAAACTTTTCACTTAGCTCCCGTGAATGCCCGGTCGGCGCTGAGGACCGGAGGAAGACATCCCTGTGAAAAACACCGTCGTGGCCGGGACATCGCGCGGTGGGAGAGGGGCTCATGCTTTGAGGCCAAAAATTTCAGATTTTGCCTGTTTGGGAAAACTGTTGCTACACCTCTGAGATCGCGACCTGCAAGTGGACTGCGTTTAGCGGAAAGGAATCAAGCAACATGAGATATCGCAAAATTTAACTGGGCTATTTAATGATTTACTGTTGAAGGTTTGTGCGACTTCCTGTAAAAATTTTAAGGAATTCGCTTCGCACTAAGCAGGCAATTCACTGACATTCTCATGTTTTCATGTTCACGCACAACCGTTTTCATGTAGAAAAATTAAATTGCCCGAATTTTGACAATAGCTAGTGTGGCTGGTTCCTTTCTGCTTAACGTTGTCCAAGTGACCCTCATAAGGCGAATTCGGTAAAATCATACAATTTTTTCGTTGAAAAAAAATATAGGTTGAGAGATTAGATGGTACTATTGAGTAGGTTGAGTAGGATGGTACTATTTGAGAGTAAGAGATTGGACCACGTTAAGCAGAGAAGGACCTAGCCACATCAGCTATTGCAAAATTTAACTACTGCGCAATTTAATTTTTTTACAGGAAAACGGTTGAGCAGATATTTTTGCAAATCTCACTGGATTTTCTGTGTAGTATGAAGCAAAAAATTTTCAAAGGATTCTGCGCAAACATTCTCCTGTAAAAAATTAAATTGCCCAGTTAAATTTGGCAATAGGTGATGCGGCTTGGTTCCTCTGCTTGGTTCCTTTATGGTGAACGCGGGCCAAATGAACCCTGACATGAAACCACAATTCGATGATCCACAGACTAGAGAAAAATCAAATGTTCATGTAAAACCAACACCCTAAGTCCTGTTGATCACTTGAAAACTTCTACGATTCACTCTGACTTCGACCTTTTCTTGCTGTCAAAGGAGATAGCCCTGACCCCTAGTTCTATATCGATACAGTTCCAAGGTTTTCGGGGCAATCTAACTCTCAAAACGTAGAGGGCACATGTATATATCTAGCTTAGTTTATTTTCTTTAAAATGTATATTCAATTCCCCTGGCCTCCAGAGGCGAATGTTCAAAAACGTGGTTTTTTCAAAAATTTTACATGGATTTTCTAGTTTGCACAGTTGAAAGTTCGGGAAATAGGTTTTGATCCATCTTCATCCTATCTATGCTCACTGTGTGTAGAAAGCTTTTGAAAAGTAAGTTCAGAAAATCAAAAGAGAGATGATTGCGGGATATTCCAGATAAACACCGTTAAATGGGTCTCGTAATTATCGTCCGTATCAGAGGAATGTACCGCTAGTAAGGAATAACGCTGCACGAACATTTGGAAGTTGCCGAATTTTACCGATAAAACGCAAATTTTCTGGATAACCGGTGAACTTTTTTCGCTGTATTTTTCAGAGGATTTTATCTGCAATTTTATCTAGTGTATCTAAAGATATCAAAAAGAAATGTCAAGAACCCGTCTCAAGAGTACATATTTTATCTAGAGACATTTGGCAACGCTCAAGTGTTCATACGGGATTTTCCTCAGCACGGCAGCGGAGATTGAGTTTAAAAACTTTTCGGCCGAGAAGACACTCCGAGAGCCACTCGTGAAAGGTAACTCGAGGTTTTGACTACATTTAACTTCAGGTCTTTGGCCCTCTTTTGAAATTCAAGAGGTTGTAGCTGAGGGTATCAAGGGTGACCTGTAGGATGTCTGTAAAAGTACTTCGCCGTACGAGCAGCATTTCCAATTCCGTTTTCCTCCCTCCCTGCTCCCAACCTCAAAAAAAAAAAAAAAAAAAAAAAAAAAAAAAAAAAAAAAAAAAAAAAAAAAAAANAAAAAAAAAAAAAAAAAAGAATGGAAGCCTGGCAAAATAAGGCAAATTCAGCACTTATTTCCCTTCAACAGGAGGTCTGGAGAGTATAAACCTTTCCAATACCAAAAGTTGCCTTCCAGGTAGAGGCTTGTTTGCTTATCAAACATATCCTTCAGAAAATTGCCCAAATTGCGGGTTTTCATGGGCAGATGGGATGTTTTTTTCCCGGCCTTTTGGCATAAAGGTTACAACTTCCTTGTAGGTTACAAAGGTTACTACAAGGTCTACAACACAAGGTACAACAAAAGGCATTTGTTTACAAAAAGGCATTTTGTTTAAAAATAAAATTTGGATTAAAAAATACGACTCATCAACATAAGAGCTAAAACCGTAGGTCGCGGTCGGACCAATGTAAAACGCCTACAATTGCATGTGATACTGTGCAACACACCAAAGTTGATATAGTTGTATTCTTGGGTTGGAACCTAACTCGAGTTCATTCCTCTACCAATTAAGTCCTTTCAATCCGTAACTACTGTATTACGAATAGCCTAGCATATTTTATGCCCATTGTTACCTTTACAAAAATTTAATGCCCCATTGATTTGAAAGAGAGGTATAGGTTGATTTAAAGAGAACTACCTGTAATATTATTAATGTGGCGGACAAAAGAGGCTCATCTATACCAGTATTTGAAATTTATTCCGATGTACGGCTAAATCTCTTTCTTCAGAAAATACCCAAACATTTTACAACGTCATAAAAAATCGAGACTTTCAACGTTTGTTTAAAATAGAGTTGACTTCTTTATTTCAACCCTAAATGTCACTTTAGGCTCTTCGTAACACGGATATATAAAAACTACTCATCACTTTTCATTTGACGTATGCAGCGCAAACAGCACTCTAAGTCAACACATCAAGACTCAACTCTCGGCAGGTCGCGGTCAGACCCATGTAAAACGCCTTCAATTGCATGTGATACTGTGCAACACACCAAAGTTGATATAGTTGTATTCTTAGGTTGGAACCTAACTCGAGTTGATTCCTCTACCAATTAAGTCCTTTCAATCAGTAACTACTGTATTGCGAGTAGCCTAGCATA